TGCTAGAGTAGTATATTTTTCTCTGTCTTCAATTATTCCAGGAGGCAACTCCTCAATCTGGCGTGCAGCAGTACTAAATTCACCCGCGATCGATAATGCAAAACACAGATGATCAATAACTGATGGATCCCATCCAATTCTCTTCGTAACAAACTTTCTTAGCAGAATTAATAGGAGGAGTACAGCCTCTTCAATATTGTTTCGTGGAATGAATGACCCCTCTGTCTGGGAGCGGAGATTTGGAGGGGCTGCATCAGTGCCGCTATAGAGAAGAAAGGTTGCAAACTCCTTTTCTAATTTGGTTCTGGTTTCCAGGTCAAGATTCCACTGATACAGAAGAGCACGCCTATATGATAAAATTGCTTCTTGAGGAACATCGGCAAGTTTCCACAACTCTGGAAGCAACTCAACAGCCTTGTTTAATGTATCCAATAATTTACAGTCAGAAACAAAACTTTCAGGCAGGCCTTCCGGGGCTGCAGCTTCAACAGTGTCCAAAATTATTTTACATGATTGAGCAGCTTCTGCGACATTACATGGACAGAAATACAGCTGCTTCAGTTCAAAGAGATCCAACTAAACAGATAGATATAATGAAACGAACAAAGAAAGAGTATGCTCAAAGATATAATGAAACGAACAAAGAAAGAGTGTGCTCAAAACCTATTGTAACTCCTGAAATACAGGTTATACCCAAATTCATCCAAACCTAAATTCAATTCAGCCTGTTCAGATAATATGACAGGTAAAAGTACACATGGTTTCTAGTACAATCATTCTGCAGCATATGGGATTTAATTGACTTCATAAGTATGCATAGACATAATGGTCAAAATCTTCTGATGGAATGGAATGAACTGATAAAAAGGTTGGATACTTCACACAAATAAAGCTAGAGGGAGTACCTGTGAATCTTCTGAGGGCCAGAAGTGATTTTGCTTTCATAAATATTGCCTCAATGAGCAAACATACAGCATGCATCGACATAGGTGGACCTGGATCACTTTGTGAAAGACGTCTGGGGAGCTCACATCTTCTAGCAATTGAAAGTTTTATCTTGGGAGTCACAGCAGCAATGTCTATGCCTTCAAAAACATGAAGAGCAGCCTCTACGTTTCCTTTTTGAAACTCAAGTCGCCCCAATAAAGCTCTCGCTTCCTGCAGATTTGAGAAGTTTTCAAATCTTGCCACTACAATATGAAGGCAACTGAACCTAAAGTAGAACACATTACACATACAAAAAACGCTTTTAAGACAAACCAGATAATATGATACTTATTATCATTACAGTAGTGTCATTAAACATGCGGAATCAGTTAGAAGCCTCAGTTTTTCTCAAGTTGAGATAGAAGGTCAGAAAAACTGAAATTCCTCTGAAAAACTAAAATAGAAGTTGATTTCAGTAGTGAGAAGTTTTTCTCAAGAACTTCTATACTACAACAACTCAAGACAGTACCGAGGGTGGCAAATCATCATTTACCTTGACCCCCATTTAGAACAGGCTTTGACTGTTTAAGGATATGATCATCATCCACTTTCTATAGTGCTGAATGTCCAGTCCAAAATGAATTCTCTGTATTTTATAAGCATGAAAGATAACTCTCGTGTTTTGGAAGTCTATCAAATTCAGCAATATTTTTTAATTGTCAATAAAACGGCAATTGTTGAATAAATTTCAGAAGTTATATTTAGAATAAACAACTAATTTACCTCTGCTGAAGTGATTGCAATCGCAACAACTTTTCTTATTAAAGCAGAATAAGAAGCAGTTGATCTTGAGTTATTATGCATAACTAATGCTATATGTCAATAAAATATGCAACAAGCCAACTTCACCAACCTCATAATTCAAATAGCCACTCTCACGTAGTGAAGATTCGGCTTCTTCAATGTTGCTTGTATCAACCTTTGTATCAGCTTCACCAGTTCGAGAAGAAAATCCGCTTGCTGAGTAGTCCCTGGTTGCCAAAGACTCTGATGAAGGAATTATTTCATCAACTCTTAGCTGCTCCCCAGAACAAATGCATTTCATCATCTTCCGCAATCTCCCACTAAATCTACTTTTTCTTTTGTGAAGCCAGTATTTAATTCTCATTCCGCCTCACTGCAGACTTTCTGATCACCACGGAATCACAGGGTAATTATTAGTGAATACCCAAACTAATGATAAGATGGTGGCGTTGAAAGGAAAAAGGAAATAGTTTGTGAAAATGTTTTGATAGTGAACTAAGTGCCGAATTCCTAAATTTCCAATAGAGCAAGAAGCTTTTGATCAAATCCCTGCCTTGTCGCTTCCACATGAGACCCTAAACTCATGTATGAAGTCTTTAATGCAATCAGAACTACAAAATTTCTCTGAAGAACACAATTTAATAAGTATAATGAACAAAAAGAACGATTCTACACATATCTATACACTGACCTCAAGGTCGCCTAAAAACATCAAAACCAGCGTTGAGATAGAAAATTTTTAAACTGAAAGTTTCGTAGTACCTCAATACCCATATATTATCCCAGTTTAGAAATCTGATATTATATCCAAGTATAAACTTAAAAGCTCAGAATTTCCAGAAAAATTCAGCAAAACCCAGATACATCCATCAGGAGAGATAGCAAAATGACCAAAGAAACCAACTTTATCAGTTAAAAGTTCAAGAAACGCAGTCCACTCATAGTACCACAGCAAAGAAACGCTTAATAGTAAAACAGAACAGAATTCCACATTACAGTTTAAGAAAGAAAAAAGTTACCTTTTGTATGGTAAAAGTCATTGACTGAGCCCACAAAACATCAAATACACGACAACCCATTTTCTTTCACCCAAAAGGGTGCTTGAATTTGTGGACTAATTACCAAGAATCCAAAGTTTACTTAAAGATGATCTTTTGAGCTTTCTGCATTTTTCTTTTTCCTTGTTTCGAAATTATTTTCTTTGGCTTTTAGTGGTGCTGTTTGGGGAAGTGTTGAAGTGAACATTCATATATCAGAGAGTTGCTGTGGCTGCATTAATTTTGGTACCTGGCAGTACGACACCTGAACTGAATCTTCCTCACAACGGGTGTGAACAAAAATAGGATTTAGGTAATAATTGTATAAGACTAAGATATATTAATTTTATTAATTCTAGATTATTAAAGTATGTTAAACCTATTGGTTTACTGGATGGTGGTTTGAAGGAGTGATGACGCCCTACATTCATTGTTGAATTTGGATGCCATATTGCCATGGTCAACTGCCTACTTGCTTGACTGCTTGATTGCCAGCTTAAAAGGCTAGGCCAGGGCCTCCATGATGGAGTTGATCCATTTTATATCATCTGAGCAAGTGGATTGAAAGGCTCTTTGCTTGTTGGATTTTGCATAAAGGTTTTTACGGTTTTTTTAATACATTTTTCAATCAAATTTTTTTTTTTTTTTCATATACGTCAAACTCGTAAGTCATTACATTATTTTTTTTAATAAAAATTTTAAGAAATTACAATTCAAATGGATTCTAAGCATACTCTTTCACCTGGATTTTAACCACGTGTTCCAATCACATTTTTAGATTTGTTATCACTTTTTGCATCTAATATATGTTACACTGCAAAAGAGTATTATAATAATTAATTCAAAATAAATTATAAGAAGAACCATATGTTAGTCATCTTTTCCTTCTTAAACAGAATTTGATTTAATAAGCTACAAGAACCATATGTTATTTCATATTTTCAACTGAATTTGATTTAATTCAAACAATAATATATGCTACAAGAGGGAATAAGTTGAGAGAAAATGGTAAAACTCAACAGGAACTTGCTTGGATGATTGTGCTCGCATTTGGAAGGGAGTCGAGCATGTTTCAGCCAAGTTTAAACTATTGGGCTTGACCGAAAGTAAGAATGCCCAAATTGATTTCTTAACCATTGGGCCTGGGGATAGTTAAAAGGGAATAAATTGAATTTGCTCCATCGGACTTGGAATAATTGACTCCATTTGTTTAGGGGGGAAAAAAGGTACTGTTTCGACTTTTAAATTATTTTTTCGTGATCTGGAATATGTCTTGACTCGAGCCGACATATCAAATCCAGAAATAGATTCCAGAACCTCATTCAATCTAAGAATCCGTTTTACCGCTAAACTACCATGGGTCGGATAGACATTCAGCATCAAATGGGAAAAGACAGATGTGGATATCAATAAATCTGAAACAATCACTGAGATTGGCTCAGTGGGACTCGGGGCACGGACGGTTGGCAATTTTGGTCATTATTAACTGCGCGTAATTTTTTTTGTACATCGTGTAACTTTTTTTTCACAGGATGTATTTTCACAACAGATAGTGGTGGGCCCCACACTTGACGCGAAAATCGAGTTACATGGTGTAATTTCAGCCGCACAAAATTTTGAGGGCAAATCTTGGCCCTTAACCGTGCAGGGACGGTCATCAGTGGCCACCAGAAAGGTCTTAAGTCCTTCTTTGAATTGTAGATGGGGTTCAAATTTCACCTACAGCAAAAAAAATTCAAGAGTTATGTCAAACCACTCCCTTTGTTTAATAAGGTCTGCATATCCCTGTAATTTAGGATAGATAGGTTATATAACAATTGTCGTCTCAAAAAAAAAAATCAAAAGAAATCTGCTAATACAGCAAAGAGAACCAACTCCTTTGTTCATTTCATCTGAAAGAAGCAAACAATAAAAGTTTGTCACGGTTGACTTTTGCTGTCAACTGAACTATTTTAATCCTTATGATAATCGGATCCACCACAAAACCTTGACTTGATCCGACTGAAAGTAGACCCAGTAACACGATGATGATAACATGAAATTTAGGAATAAAACTCGACAAGAGACTATGGATAAGGTCAACCTTTGAACTCGAAAATCGATCAAAAAGCCATTTGGGGCTATTTGAGAATCTTTGAACAATTTGAATTTCTGGGTTGAAGCAATCTGTGTATGAGTGTGTATGTGGATTTTGGTTTTCGTCGTTCAGCCATTTTAATTGGATTTAGCAGATGGAATAATAAATAAAACTTTGCTTTTCATATAATCTGATTGCAGACTTGAACGGACGGACAGAATGAAAATGAAAAAGATGCGAGTGAAATTTCCATTGCTATAAAATTTCTAAAATCTTTATAATCTTGCTTAAAAAATTGCCCAGTTTTGCTTTGTTTCCAACGGCATCAGTGAGATCACAATTTGCGACGGCCAATTCCAGGACTAGTCCCACCTCCGAAACTACCGCCACCGCCAATTCCTCCACCCTTACCAAATCCCCCATGCCCTCCACCAAAACCTCCTCCAGCCCCAAAACCACCGCCTGCACCACCTCCTATACCTCCACCTTTTCCAAAGCCACCACCTGCTCCACCCCCTACTCCGCCACCGGCCCCACCTCCAGCACCTCCGCCAAGGCCTCCTCCAGCCCCTCCTCCTACGCCTCCACCTGCTCCACCTCCGGCACCACCACCAATGCCTCCACCAGCTCCTCCTCCTACTCCCCCGCCTGCTCCACCCCCAACTCCACCACCAGCCCCACCTCCTGCACCACCTCCTACTCCTCCACCAGCTCCACCCCCTGCACCTCCTCCAATGCCACCTCCAGCACCAGCACCACCACCTGCACCGCCTCCAACTCCACTACCACCACCTGCTCCTCCACCAACACCTCCTCCAACGCCACCTCCAGCACCAGCACCACCGCCTGCACCGGCTCCAACTCCAGCTCCTCCACCAACACCACCACCGGCACCTCCTCCAACGCCGCCTCCAGCTCCAGCTCCTCCACCAGCACCACCACCTGCTCCTCCACCGGCACCTCCTCCAACGCCACCTCCAGCAGCACCACCACCCCCTGCACCTCCTCCAATTCCAGCACCTCCACCAGCGCCTCCTCCAACGCCGCCTCCAGCACCACCACCACCACCTGCACCTCCTCCAATTCCAGCACCAGCGCTCCTCCAACGCCGCCACCAGCACCGCCACCACTACCTGCACCTCCTCCAACTCCAGCACCACCACCGGCTCCTCCACCAGCACCTCCTCCAATGCCACCTCCAGCAGCACCACCACCACCTACACCTCCTCCAACTCCAGCACCACCACCTGCTCCTCCACCAGCACCTCCTCCAACGCCACCTCCGGCACCACCGCCTACTCCACCAGCTCCTCCGCCTCCACCTCCTCCAAAGCCACCTCCGGCGCCTCCTATACCACCCGCTTTTCCAAATCCACCACCGCCACCAAATCCCCCACCTGCACCTCCTCCAATGCCGCCACCTCCTATTCCACCCCCACCTCCACCTCCACCTCCACCTCCCCATCCTCCTCCTGCTGCACCAGTCCCAAAACCACCCCCAGCTCCAAATCCAAACCCACCTCCCTTACCAACAGCAGTCAAAAATTTCTCATCCTTAACAAAATTCACATCTCTCCCTACAACCCGACTAACTACAAAAAAATGAAAACAAAAAAGCAATAGAACCGCAACTCTCATTGCCCCACTCATCATTTTTATCAGAAGAATCTACGTAGATATTAGTGCTCTATCACTGAACTTACACTTCACTCAGCAAGCCCACCGAGGATTTATTTATACTTGTTCTCCAAACACTCCCATGCTCTCAGTCTTCCTATGCATTAATTGAAAGCCCAACAGCCAACTGTTCGCCAGAAATTTGAAATTCAATGTCTACATTTACAAAAAGGGTGTTTGGTAAAAGCATCATTAATGATTTTCTTAAATCTTCCAGGTAAAGAAAATTTCCCTGGTCATCTTGGGACGAGCTGACACAAAATTTTGCTTTTACATGGTTACATAGCTGTAGTTTTTTGTTGGATTGTAGTATCTGGTTCATATATAGGAATACGCGTCATTGGAAAAACAGGTTACAGGAATCAGTAGTGTTTTTTGAATTCTGAGGCTGAAATGAACAGAAAGTCAGAAGTAACTTCTTGCTGGATAGTTAATTCATTAAATTATTCACTGACTTATATGGAATAGCATTGAAGGACCATAAATTTTCCTTTGTTCTTTACTATTTCTGCAAGGTATAAAATCTTCAAGTATAAGGCCGTATTTGAGTCAAAGAAGCATACATATATTTTACCAAATTGAGAGAGTGAATAGGATTGATAAGGATTAAGGACCGTTGTCCATAATTATAACCTTTTATTGAAAAAAAAAAAAAACTAATGTGCTCTATCAAAATTCTTGACGAGCTTTTTGGTAAATTTCATTTGTTGCATGGGGTGGTTTTGCCAAAAAGAAAATGCAATTCTTTTGTTTTTTTGTTTTTGGGCCAAACTTTGTCTGTATTACAACTTTTTACCGACTACAAGTGAATTTAGTTACTGCATTATTCTTTCTTGTTCGAGAGTATAACCAAATTCTTTATTCTGTAGTACTCTCGAGATAAGTATATAGTATTCTCTCCTCTGCACATTCGTCGGGCCATTCTGACCACTGCAACCCAAGTGCTGATGATCAAAATGTCGTAACATAGCAAAATAAATGCACGAATGACTCAGTTGCAATGGTGTTCCGGTTTGCAGGTCGATTCTGAGTAAAAGAAAAAAAATGCTCTATTTTCTTAGTCAACCATATGCTTTAACTTTTGGTTGGGTGTTTTTTTGTTTTCTTTTCCGAGGCAGATGGCAGATATCAGCTGCATGCATAGAGTTGAAATTTTGCCTATGCCCTTCGAGAGTTGCATGCATGTATGTGCATCCAGACCAAGTGGAAATGCAGAAACATGATTGATTCTGACGTATGCCAGTATCGACTAATAAGTCCCTTATATTTTCTTGCGGGTAATTATGTAGATATACAGATGATCTTGGAAAGATAGGATTTTTCTGAAGTGTGACAGCATAGTTGCCATGAATTCTACCAGAAATTCATTATTGACTGTGAGACTTTATTCAAGATTTCACACAAATTCTTTTGATTACTCTTTTGAAGTAATCCAATGTCAATCACATACATTTTTTTGCCTTTTGACTATGTATTCATATTTGTTTTGAGGGAAATTCTACAATGTGCTACAACACTACATTATGGTAAATCACATTGTACAAATTAACAAAAGTGTGATTAAAAAAGAAAAAGAAAAAGAAAAAGTATCATGAGATACCACAAATGTGGTATATCGCATGGTAGATGATCCTTATCTTAGCCACAAAAAGATTTGTTCTATGGATCTCCAAGCCCAAATCTATGGCAAACCACTATTACTCTCCATTCACTATTGTTTGATGATTGATAGAGGTATCTTAGCCTTAGGTTGTAAAGCAACTGATGCATAAGAATGAAATGGAGCCTTCTTGGACTCGCTTGGGCACATTTAACAGCAATTTCTTTACTATACCAGTACCACCATTTATGTTATCCACAAATACAAAAATGTGTACCACTTTCAATGTCTGTGCTGTGAAAACAAAATTATCTCTAATGAAACAGGTTGGTTGAGAATGAGCACTGTGGCATCATAAATGTCATCTTACTTAGAATTTGGTAATCACACATGGGGGCTTTTTTTTTTTCCCAGAAACATCGTGAAAAGAAAACAGCTAGCACCTAATCGACATGGGAAACTGAAAGAGATACAGCACAAAAGTTCAAAGTTTGGTAAAGGAAATACATTGGGACCTTCCTAACCAATATGGTACGCACGCACATGCAATTGAAACTGGAAGAAACCAAAGAAATTAATGCTTGGTTGAAATTTTGTTTATACTAGTAGTAGCATTTTCAACTTCCATCTAATTCTAGCACTGGTATCATTTATCATATCCTTCTTGGATCTGGCTGGATGGTTTTGTTCTGGTCATGAAATAGCATGCCATTCGTCGGTTCGATACTGTGGCGGAATTTTATCATCTCAGCCAATCGCATTTTTGTTTGTTCACTTCTGCATTAAACATCAATGCTTCATAATGTTTCCTCGATTTACAATTTAGCTCCCCTAAAACTGCACAACTTCCACGCCCCATAGTTTTCTCAGAACACGAAATATTTTTGTTTTGGTACTACAACTACATGGGTTCCATCCTCAATTTATATTCAGATGTTATATACTTTTTCCTTGGAAACTTGTACGAGGGTCAGTGTAAGACAGAAATAGTCACCGACATAGATTTCATGCCAAATTTTTAAACCCTCAAAAAAGTGATAAAATACAAACAAAGTTATCAAAACTCCCAGATTTGATACTCCTGCTACAAGTTCTTGGCAACATTGCTTTTCTTCTAGACACAAATAGTGTTATGGTATTTGACGAAAACTAAATGCATCTACAAAGATGACAGACAAACTTACTTGATAATGGGCGGCGAGCGAAAATGACTTCCATTTATGTGTTTGTCTAAACTCGCAAATGAGTGTGATTGAACGTATGGAAACAGATGCGCTTAGCCATCATTAAGCTTCTTGAACAGCAAACTCAGGGAGAGTCTTTTTCAACTGTTTTCTCTCTTTCTGAACTATTGTTATGATTATGGATGTTTTCATCGAAAGGGGTTAACGTTAATTCGAAAGTTAACATAAGAACGTGACATTATTTTTTTCCCTCGCGTAGGAAAGGAATTTCACACTGGCTAATTACAGAAGTAAATTTCTTGAAATCGTGCTAATTAGGTTGACTTGAATACATGTGGATAACCGGTTAGTAAATCAACATGCAAAGAGTAACCATTTTCCTTGATTTACATGCAAGGCCTCAACTTGACAGGTTCTCTAGCAGAATCCATTTTCTGCATTCAAATGTAAATTGACTTTGTTTTGGGTTATAATGCAAAATTGATTTGGTTTGTTATTGAAAATTCATTAACAATTACAACTAATTACTGAGCTGTTTTTCTTTTGTTCTTATGACATATTTGATTGCTTAACTAATTAACCGGATTAAACTACATTAATCATATGATAACACTGAAGTATTTCCAGTTGATAATGAAAATCAAGGGGTTCACTAGTTATTTTCATCTTGTTTTTCCCCATCCGAGTTCTGAAATGCAAACATACCATTTTGATGGGTATTTACTTCTCTATGATCCGTTTCATCATTTCCACTTATAGAAGGAATGAAAGGGAAAACAGTATCAAAAACAACAATTTCAAGAAAACTGAACAAGCAGAACTGCTCTTTTTCTCAACTTACTTTCTTGTATGGTCATTCAGTGTATACGTGAAAAGTTATAGAAACCAATCCCTCAAATTTTAGATTATCTTTTCTACTTGAATAATCCTTTTATACATTTCGAGTTTTTTTTTATTCTTTTTCTCCCTTTGGCATTCAAGATGCCTCAAAATTAATATTGGTTTCCAGTTTCATGTGAAAATGATCGAGTACGTATCAGAAATCTTGGCATGCCATAAAATTGACAAGTATGACAAACTAAAAGCGGGGTCGATTCAATGCAAGATGACTAGGTCGGCACTGTTAGGTCTAAACAATGGGGTCGGATCGGCACTTTAAGCATCAATCAAATAGGAATTGTAGATGTCCAGATTCTTCATTACTGCTGCTGCTAGCTGATGGTGATTGTCTAACCACGGTCACTCACTAACAGGGTGTTTTATTTTATTTACCTTAAAGCAAAGGAATAATTTCAGAAACATCCCTCGAGTCTTGTCACAGCGTATCATTTAGAATCCATAAACTGTTTGCCTCTACTTTTAAGTTTTTATAACGTTATCAACTTATTTCAAACTATATTAGTAAATAACTTATTTTTTTGATACAGAAGATGTTTTCATTTCAAAAGTGCCCTTTATTGTCCTACTTTTATAATTAAAAATATATTAATAAAAGCTTTAAAATACAGACAAATTGTGTGAATGCATAAATTTGATAGGAAACAATATAACAGTATATGTTTTACCGCACAAATAATTTATTTTTAAGAGTATATTTTAGATGTTTTCAAGCCAGAAAAGATTATTCAGTTTTTTTGGTCAATTTAAGAATTTTTCAAATTTTTAGAAATTTTGAAAATTTTTAAATTTTTGTCGAGATTGTGATGGCTTGAAAGCTAGAAGAAGACAAAATGTTTAAAATTATGTTTATGAACTCATTTATGGTGTTTTATCGAATAAGTGTTTACGGATGAATTAAGGATTTATAAATTGTGTACAAGTTCTTTGAATTTCTAAATTTTTTTTGTCCAATTCAATGGCTTGAAAACTTAGTAAAAGATAAATTTCTTAACTATATATTTAAAATCTCATTTGAGTTGTTTTTAAAGTGCAAAATGTTATTTTCTTCATTTAAAATATTTCAGGTGAATTTTATGAGTTTTTAAAATTATGTAAAATTTCTAAAATTTGTTATAATTCTTGTGTAGACTAATGAAGCGAAAACTATTCAACGGCCTTCCAACTTTGTTAATGTCTTGCAGTTCTTAATTTAAAAACCATATCAGTCAAGTTTTTTAATAATATATTATGAAATAGGTTGACAATGCTAAAATTAAAAATAGAGGAGACAAATAATATTTTTCAAATACTAAGCGATATTATTACAAATCTGTGGAGGTTTCTAAAATTATCCCTCATTGAAGCAAACCAAAGTGACAATTGATATCTACCATATTCTAATAATTCGTATGTTGGTTATCTCTTCTTGCATTGCCATCATAAATCTAAAGTAACCTGCAAAAAGGAAAGCTTCTATTTGTAGGTCTAAATCTTGATAAGAGCTGCTGTGGCTAACGCAAGATATGTTACAATTTTATCGTTTATTTTATTATTAATTTTCTCTATTATCTGACCTGATGTGGATGAATTGTTAAATTTTACTCACCTTTGATATTTTGCATTTATTTCAGGAAGTAGAATGCAAATATAATAACAAGTGTCAATTTGACAGGAAAGGAGCCCAAGTATCAAGGATTATCCCAAGGAGCATTTTTGAAAAAGAAAAACTTATGACCATTTTGGTAATTGCAGCAAAGACAGCAGACGGGGAGAGTCTTCATTATTCCTTGGAGAGCAAAAAGCCGCCGCACGGTGGGAGATTAGAAGAGGCATTAGATAGAAAATTAGAGATAGCAAAGGATGAGCACTACTTTGGATAGCTTTTGTTGACTTTTCCCTGGGATTTTCTTTTGCTTTCTTCTTACGAATGCCAGGCACAACTTAGTAGTTCTTAGCTTTGACTTTTCGTTTGGGTACTTGGTAGTTTTTCTCCTTGGATGTCAGGAGCAATTAAGAAGACATTGAATCATCCTCTGCAACCTTGCTTTACTGTATTCCTTTGACCGAATTGAATTTGCCCATTTTTCAATTGATGGCCGCGGCTCTCTCTTCACTTTTGTATGGACTTTTCGCATCAAATATGAACTAATCCCTTCATTCTAGTCAAGGAATAACGGAGGTTTTGGTTCATCTAAAACTTGTAAAATCGATTTAATTTTATCTTTTTCTTTTATTTATTGGTATTCGCGTATCCCTTGATTGCAGTATTTATGATTAATTAATTAATTAATTATTTTGGATCCGGATAATTAGTTAGCTTGATAATCTATTGTCAGTTAGGGCATTAAATCCGCATTTATTTAATTACCTTGAATTAGTGATAACTGGCATGATTAGGTTTATGCCGGGGGATATGTGGGCTAATCTGAAATAACCTTGGCAGTGCGTTATTTGGTTAAAATAGGGCTCTTCTAATATGTAAGACAATTGAAAAATTAAATCTTAAGGGCGTACCTAAGATTATTTCTCAATTAGAACAGTGATTAACGGGCGTACCTTCATCACCGACACAGTAAGGAGGGGTTAACTGTCATCGCTTGTTTGACAGTTATATCCTATTTATTAATAAATAATTGGAATCGTCTTTGCATCGATGATCAATTAGGTGAACCATTGCTGAAGTTATTTCTTGGTTAGACCTTTATTTATTATTACTTTGATTTTAGTGAATTGTCATTTAATTTCTAGTTAGCTATTTATTTTTATTTGAATTTATTTGATTGGCACTTTCCACACAAAAACACCTCCTGATTACTGTGAATTTGAAAAGAAGCAGTTACACCCAATTCTTGTGGATTCGACCCTGCTTACCACTATCTACAAAAATTAACTTTAGTTGAATAGATTTTTTGTTTTTATTATTGCACAGGCCCGACACCTGTCAGAAACTAATTTTATTTGTTTAAACCGTTGAACTCTTCATACATTTTTTTGATAAATACAAGGATGTGATTTGTATCTATACTTTTGATTTTGTGTGATATTTTAAAATATGGATATAATATAGATTTAATTTGCACAAAGCATTTTGTAGCTGTACCTGGAATATATTCTTTTATTTGGTAAACCATTATGCTTAGTGGTACTACACTTGGTAATTTTGTACCCTCCAAATTTATATGGTTGCCAAGAGATAAGATTTCCTTTTGAGCGCAATAAATTAGTTGAACTGAGTGCAAAGATTGAATCCAAATAAAAGGAAAAAAAAGATATTACCAATTACAATTTTGGGTTTCAAAATATCATAACTGAAACAATTTGAGATTATAATGATACCGTTTTAAGAAGATAGGTTTGAACGGTCCACTTGTAAAATGTGTATGATATTAGAATTGTAATGATAAGTAATGCATAATGATGTTAAAAATTTTATATGGTTATTGCATATATCTAATTAATCATTCACAAGTATGTATGTATATATATATCAATCATACATAAGTATTTGTTTTCATTTTTTCTAATATTAGCAATAAGTTGATGGTAGAATTAGTATTGGGCATATCTAATAATACTTAACGAGTATGTACAATGTCAATATTGAACTTCCATTTTCAATTTAAATATCTTTATTTTACCTCTTATAATCATTTTTTGGTCCTAAACTAATACTTAGCGAGTACGTGCAAGTGTTAATTGTGAACTTTCATTTTCAATTTAAATACCTTTATTTTACCTCCTATATTCAACACCAATTATGAAGAAGAGGGGGGAAAGAAAATGAGTACTTAGCGACGGAATTAAGAGAGTTAATCCAACGAACAACTTCTAACCTGTCCCACCCCAAATGTTCCTAGTGACATCCTAAAAGTATCCAAATCAACCTCATAATAAGCATTAGTGCCATCATAATGATGATTTCTCAAATTTTTTTTAATGATTTTCAGCATTTTTTTCCGCCATCTGCACATAAAATTTCCATTAGCTATTGAGCCAGCCATCCCTTCACCTGATTTGACAACAAATTGCAATGGCAATTTAGCAAATACCTTATTAATTCAAGGGCTGTAATTATAACCTCCCTAGATAGATTTAAGACCAAAGGTCTCTACGTTCTTTTCTTCCTAAAGCTCTCTTCTCAGCTCCAATTTCTCCTTCCTTGATCAACCCCATCTTACTCCATCTCCCCGGTCGGAGCCACCCCGTGCGCCGCCACCATACCCCCAAATCTTCATCTTAGTTATCAGTTTCCGGTGACCCTCCATCCCAATCTTAAGTCACCTCACACACACCTTATCAGAACCCATCTTCTATTCTATGTCCAAAGTTCTGCCCTATCGACATTTCCCAATCTTTCTTCATTATCCATTTTACCTCAAAAAAATAGAAAAAGAAAAAGGAGCTTAATATGAAATTACTATTTCACCCTCATTTCCTAAATGTACCTTTTATAGCTTTTTAAACTGTCCGATTCTATTTTACACTCCTCAGTTCTTGCTCACCGGTTTCTTGAATTGTTCGTTCCATCCCATTACCACCATTTTTTGGATCTTTCGCTGACGTGGCCTTTTTATAGTCCTCCGATTAATTGTTTTGTGTTCTGATTAATCGGACGGCTGAGATGAGTTCGAGCGACCGAAAGCGTAAAGAGAGGGGGGAGCACCCTAGCCCCTTCCCATCAACGAGAAAATCGTCAGCTGAAGCGACGGCTGTTAATAATTTAAATCCAACGACGTCGTTGGGAGGTTCGGAATCATCAGCTTTGCATAACAATCGGCTTCTAGCTGGTTACATGGCTTACGAGTTTCTAACGGAAGGGACTCTGTTGGGTCAGAAGTTTGACCCGGCTAGAGCCCAGGCCGCGCCTGTTCAGTCAGCTGGCTCTCACTCGAGGAAGGTGGAGAGGAGCCGGAGAAATAAACCTGAAGCCGAGCCGCATAAGCTGCGTAGCCAGAGTTACGCTGAGGTGGCGAGCTTGTTGAAGAGTGATGGGAACCACATTCCTGGTGTAGTCAATCCTACGGAGCTGGCTCGATGGTTTCAACTCTGAATTGTTTAATAATTCCATCTCATTTAAGCTGCTGCTATCCTTTCTCAGTTTTTTTTTTTTTTTTGGGTAGTTTTTATGTATTATTATTATTTTTTGTTTCTAATTTTAAACTCAGCAGAATTAATAATGTTTTCATACTTGTATTGCAGTTTCTGTGATGTTACTCCTTTGGCATAAGTCTGTGATATTCACAACAATATACTACTAAGGATGAGGATGTATTTAAGAAGATATTCACATTTATTTACCAAAATTCACGTTGCCAATTCGAGAATATCATAAAAACTGATTATTTGAAATCAGAATTTATAATCAACCTAGAACAACAATTCATCACTGGAATGCTGATAAAAAGTAGTAGTACTCACTATATATTCTGAAATGAAGCTAGAAAATGGAGTTAAACAAGAATAAAATGGGAAATAGAGAAGAAGATGGAGAAAAATTACATCACTGAATGAAAGGCTTCCAGAATTAAGCTTTTGTTCAAGACGTATCTGGATCAAAATATGATTTAGAGGTGGAGGGATCCTTACTGAAGGAATGTTGTGGCAGATTTCGTCGAAATCCTCTCCTCGAACCCTGTTCTGAAATTCTTCGCGGATTGCCAACACTTTTTTGAGTGGTTCAATGAACCTCAATCCCTCGGGCCGGATTCATGGTTAATCTTTGACAGTAGTGAATCTGAAGACTAGAAAGGAGATTAGCCATAATGGCTCCTTTCTCTACCGTCCACTTCTCTAACAGAGGCTAATCACTGAGCCATGGCAAACCACTGCATTTCTTTTCCCACGAAAGCACCGTCCCATTAAAACCCGAGCCTTTGTGAGTTTGGAAGCTTCTCTAGTATTGTCATGGGATCTTCTTCGAGTTCGGATGCCCCTAATTTCAGGGCCAAAAGGTTTCCCAGGAAGCGGGAATCATACGTACTCAGGTAACCCGCCTAAACATCCTTCTATCGACAGAAATTGGAGATTGCTGTCGAATAATTGCCTCAAGTTAGAAGTGCTCTTCCCTGTCCTAGGCCGAAGAATTTGGGAATCTCAGCATCAAGAGCTACATGATTTAGCTTGTTGGAAGGTGATATGCCAGTTGATCATTTCTTCTACAGCTTTTACGTCTTCCATCCATGCATGCACCTCCTCAAGATTAGTTAACTCAGAAATGTCTCTAACAAATTTTCCAGGGACACTACCCTCTAATGTCTCAAGATTTGTTGAGGCATAGATTTGCCACTGGAAGGAAGATATAGATAGATCAATCGCGGCATCCTCAATGGCACATTTAGAAAAATCAAGAGTTTCCAAGTGTTCCAGGTTGTTTAGAGACAAGGGCGAGATGACCAATTTAGGATCTCTCAAACTCAGGTATATATATCTCATGTGAATAAGCTTACCTATTGGTAACTTGAAAACATCATACGGGATGCTACTATTGACTTTGATGTTTTCCAGGCCTGGAGTGATCACTTCTTGGATTGTCAAAAGATCTAAGCATCTTGAACCTTTCCAACTGGAACTCTGCCAATTGTGTCCTCAAATGACCATACCGTATATATAGCACGAACTGAAAGTGTTCGTAGATGCTCAGTTACTTCCCTTGCAGGGGGAGCATACTTTTGGGCACCCTGATCACCCAAATAAATAAAGAGTCGTCGATGAATTTTAGCTATTGATGAAGAACTGAAACCTACCAAATTAATCAGCAATTTCATTCCGATGGCGATATTCTGTGACCCGTAAGAAATTTTCTTCACTTGCCTTCGCCAGACACAAGTCTCTCATGAGGTCGTGAAGGTGACATGATCCAAACTTTCCCTTGGATTGATACTCACTGTATGTTATCTTCACGTGGATGTTATCCAAACATCCATCGGCGATTCGTCCCCATTTCGGTCTTCAGCAAAAATCATTCCTTCGGCTATCTCCAAATTATGCAGTATCGCTGCTTTTATATCTTCATCTTCAGAGAATCCACCCAAGTAACGACAACATGGCTTCAGTTTACAGGGCAAGTCATTGTAACTTGAAGCCAAAATCTTTTGCACTTCTCCTTGATGCTGGTCAGTAAGACTTGATATTTCTATGCACCACATTCCACTCATTGAGGCTGTGTTTAGTTGCGAGAATTCCTCCAAGAACGACAACAGCTAATGGAAGGCCTCTACAAAATTCAGTCATTTCTCTGCCTAACATTTCCTGTTAATGCATATCTTCCCTTCCTGTGAAGAAAAGGATGGTTAAAGTTGCTATAATTACTCATGGCTCACATTTGAGGAGGCATACCTAGAAAGATCACCAAATCCCAGATGGGGAAATATAGAAATCTTCTTCATTTTTTCCGCGAATTAAAATTTTATTTGATAGGGACATAACAGGGACTTTAGAGGCCTAAATTTTCTGCAGCACAAAGTTGAAAATTAGCAAACCAAATACACACTACCACGTACTATGAGATTGCTGTGTACGACTGATCTCGCCTATATAAGATTGCTATGTATACTTCTCTCGGGAAATAATAATGACTATCATCACTTCAAACTTTTCAAAGTCTAGTTATAATCTTTTAAAGTTAGTCCTTCACAGTCAAAATCTTTTCAAAGGAAAATTTGGCTGATTTTTTTTTTTTGTTATACCTAAGGGACTATTTTAGTTGAATTTGAATGTGAAAGGCTAATAAGGTTTTTTTTTTTTTTTGATAATGTGAGGGACCAAATTGACAAATTTTCCTTCTTTTTCTTTTTTTAATACATGAATATCACAGATTTGACCTTTTTTTTTTTCTAGCTTTCATTTCTTTCCCCAGTTTCAATTATTAAATTCACTATTTATCATAATATTCGAACCAAATCACGTTCGAATCGAATTAGGTTGACAATTTAACACTGTGTTAAAGATTGAGCTTAAAAATTAGATATCAAACTCCAACGTCCAAACATTAGAGGAATAAAACAACCAAATATCATATCCCCGTATTATATAATTAAATCTATGCAGCAATACATAATTAAGCAGAACACTGTCCCCTCAGTAGAAGGCACTGGTACTAGCCTAAAAATAAGCTGAAATAGAGATAAATGAGAACAATCAAAGCTAGAAGAGCACGCAAAAATATTACATCACAGAATGAAAGGCAATCAGCATTAAGAACGGGAGAACGAGGCTTGATGCTTCAAGAAGTGGAGGCTCATCGATCCTTATTGAAGGAATGTGGCAAATTTTGTCAAAATCCTCTCCTTTCTGACCATCCACCAATCGAACCCTGTTCAGAAATTCGTCGGGCATTCCTTGAATCACCAATTCTTTGAGTGGTTCAATAAACCTCAATCCTTGTGGAATCATTGCTAAGCGTTCGCAGTCGCAAATATAGAGACAAGAAAGATTAGCCATGCCTCCTTCCTCCACCGTCCACTTCTCTAACTGATGCAAATGATGGAGCAGAAGAAACCTGAGCTGAGGAAATCCCCTCGAATGGCAAGTCATTTCTTTTCCATTAAAGGAATGGTTGCAGAACTTGAGTGTTTTTAAGTTTGGGAGTTTCTCCAGTATCGCCATGGGATCTTCTTCAAGCCTGGATTCTCTTAACTGCAGTTCCAATAGGTTTCCGAAGAAGTTGGATTCATACTCAGGTAACTTTCTTAAAGGTCCTTCTAGCCGTAGACATTGGAGATTGCTGCGGAACAATTGCCTCAGAAGTGCTAATCCCTTTTCTAGGCCGAAAAATTCAGGAATAAATGGAGTCCAGATATTTACATGATTTAGCTTGTGTGAATGTGATACGCAGTTGATGATTTCTTCTATACCTTCCAATTCTCCCCTATATTCACGTAGCTCCTGAAGATTAATAGACTCAGAGAAATTTCTTACAACTTTTGCAAGGTTGGCGCCTTCTAAGATTTCAAGGTTACTTGAGGCATATATTTGCACAGAGATATCATGAGGAAGATATAGGTACCTCAGTCGCAGCATCCTTAATGGCACATTTCTCGTCCATACTATTTTGGCATTAGATAAATCAAGAGTTTCCAAGTGTTCCAGGCGGCTTATGGACGAGGGTGACATGACAAATTTGGAACTTCTCAAACTCAGGTATCTCAAGTGAATGAGATGACCTATCGGTAACTTGGGACTATTTTTACTGTTTTCTAGGCCTGGACTGTTGACGCCTTGAATTGTCAAAGATCTTAGCATCTTGAACATATTCATTTGGGACTCTGCCAATTGTGCTGTCATACTTCCATGTTTCGTGGCACAAAACAGAAGCGTTCGAAGATGCTTCGTTGTTTCCCCTTCCTGAGCATAATTGGAAGCATCCTGGTCACCCAAATAAATCACGTGTCTGTGAATGTTACCGGTTGATGATGAAGTGGAACCGGCCAACTCGACTTCATTCCCATGTTGATAACCAAAGACCTTCAAAAAATTTTCTTCTCTTGCCTTTGCTATGCAGAAGTCTCTCATGAGGTCATGAAGGTGACATGACCAAAACTTTCTAGGGCTTCGCAGTGTCTCCCCATCTGCTACCGTCACCTGTTGAACCTGGACCATACATCGTTTGGCCAACTCTCCCAAGTAGCTTTCAGCAATGTCCATCATTGATTCCCCCCCCCCCATTTGGTCTTCTGCAGAGACCATCCCTTCAGCCATCCACAACTGATATAATCTCTCTATGGGCACTTCTTCATCTTCATAGAATGCACTTAAGTAAAGAAAACAAGGCTTTAATTTGTATGGCAAGTTATCGTAACTTAGACCCAAAATCTTGTGCACTTTTCCTTGATGTTCGATGCTTTCTCCTTTTGCTAGGAAGGACTTGATATTTCTGTAAACTACATTCCACTCATTGAAGCTGTGTTTTGTTGCAAGAATTCCTCCTAGAACGACCACAGCTAAAGGAAGACCTCCGCAAAATTTAACCATTTGTTGGCCTAACACTTCAAAGTCGTGAACATCTCCATCTCCTGTAAAGCATTGGTTGTAGTGTAAATTAGTCATGGATTACATTTTCGAAGGCATGCCTCGGAACGTTCAACCAGATTTCATCTAGCCAATTAAATAGAGCAATCAATTCTATTTTTCTAAAAGATTATGGAAACCTGTCTATGTTTTTGTCCTTATGACTATGTACTAGATTTTATCACTCTTCATATTTTTCAGCTCAAGAAGTGGCAGGGAAAATATAATTTCTCTAATAAGTGGATGTATTTAAAAAGGGCTTTGTGGTTTAAGGACAACTTAATTGATATTTTCTATAGCATTTTTTTTTTCATTTTTGCCTAAACCGAACTTCTATTTGATGGGGACATAACAAAACTGTACACTTCAGAGAACCTAAGGTCTCTTTAATACAGAGATGAAAACCAGCAAGGTCAAAAACTGGTAATAATCTAGAGGGAAAAGCAAACTCAAGGAATTGCTTGTCATCTGAATTTTAAAACAAAGTTAAGATTCAATGTACTTCCAATATGTAAATCTATGTACGCAATCAATATTCGATCTTAAAGGTCAGCAACATGAATTAGATGAATGTTGTAGATATTCATTTCAGACAATTGGTCCATGATTGTTGAATAACATGAACCATATTGAATACTTATGTTGTTCACACAAAGTTTGACCAATTATACATTGTTCAATAATATGAACCGTATGGCTACTATTTCCAAATTATGATAATTTTCACTGAATCCCTTTATCTGGACATGGTGGTGTAGACAGGTTAGGAAATTTATGCTCCTAATAGCGTGATGCAGGATTGTAAACAAACTTTACAGTTTATAGTTGGAGTAACAGGATATAACAAACCTTGGATAGGTCTGTCTCTCAATGCCTTTCTTTGGAGCAGCTCCCAGCTTTCAGCATCGGTTAACAGTCTCGATTCGTGGTGGAAACCATTTGGACCAATGCGCATTGCTACATCTTTGTTACGACTTGTGAGCAATATCTTGCCCTTATTTCTGATTGGAAATGCAACTTTGATGCATTCCCATGCATCAGTCGACCAGATGTCATCAAGAACTACGAGGCATTTTCCGTTCTGCTGGAATCGAAGAAGTTCCCCAACCATCTCATCATCTCTCCACTTCTCAATCTCCCTTCTTCTTTCTGGGAAGAAGCTAACCAAGATCCCTTGCAAGATCTCTCTTGTTTGCCATTGTTGGGATATACAAACCCACGCAAAACTATCAAAATGATGCTTTGCATTAGGATGGTTGTATAGCTTTCGTGCAAGAGTTGTCTTTCCTGAACCTCCCATGCCACAAATGGAAACAACTCCACAGGAGCCAGAGAACTCAGCTTCATTCACCAGGACCTGCATTAGCTTCTCGATGTCGTGTTCCAATCCAACAAAATCTTCATCATCAGCAACATAGGAATATGTCATCCTCAATTGTTGCTGCCGAGAGCTTGATTCTTCTCTTTCTGTTGCAGCCCTTATTCCATATTCTTGAAAAGATCTTCTCAGATTAGAGACTCTGGCATTGAGATTTTGAATCTCTAATCCAACTTTATGACGAATATAACATTCATTCACGATACAAGTGTATCTTCGAATGACATTCCTAGTACCTCTTGCCATCTGTCTTGATGCAAGCCTGAAAGCGTGAGTTTCAACCATGTTTTCAGCTTCATAAGCTAGATCTTTGCTCTGTGAAACCCACTCTTTAACAACTTCAGCCTCATGTCGCTTTTCGTCAGCATCTTTTAATAGTGCCCGCATCATCTTTAGCTCTGAATGAAGCTGCTTAGCCTCTTCAGTCACCCCACTTAAGAACTTTCCCTCTTCAATCAACAAATGCCCGATCGTTTCCAAAAGAAATGATACAATGGGCTCGGCCATCTGTGATTGTCGAAATTAAGGATCAAAGAGGTTTAGGCATGATCAGCAAAAATACGTCTCTACAGCTTTATAGGCTATAGACATTCGGTACATAGATTATAAAATTAATTAAGTTAATCGTGATTCTAAACCTTTGCTTTGAGTTTAAGCAATCCCAATTCCTATCAACTTTATTCCTTTCGTATTTCTTCAACTTATGCATTAAGTCCCGAATCTAATATTTCTTGTTCATTATCAGTTGTGCATAACCAAACCTCCTCCAAGAGCATATTTAAATTGCTCTGCTCTCTACTCTTGGATAGGCATTATTTGCAAAAATAAATTATTTGCTTGCATCAGAAACACGCTTTTCAATCAATTTTTTTTTATGTTACAACTATCTTTTTATCTCGCATACATTAAATCATAAAAGTATTATAATAATTACCCTAAACAATATTTCAAATAATCTTCCATCCAAACACAAATTTATTTTGAAGGTTGCTACTAGGACTACCACTTTCCAATCTCTAGGGTTCTGGTACTTCTAGAGGGGAAAAAACAGTTTAAACCACAGAAAAAAAAGAATGAAAACAGAAAATGGAAGAATATTATGGGAAAGTGATTGTATATAGATTACAAATAGGGGTCGACTCAAGCTTGATCAATATCGAGCTCGAGTCGAGCTTGAGCTGGTCGAGCCAGAGTCGAGTTCGAGATCAAAACATTAAGCTCGTTAGTAAAATTACATAAATATCCTTAATATTTTATTATTTATTAAGAAAAAATATTTTTATTTTTATTTTTTTCGAGCTCGAGCTCGAGTTTGAAAATTACCAGCTCGTCGAGCTCGAGCTCGATGAAATTAAGTCAAGACTCAACTCGATAAGACCAAAACTCGACTCGTTTGCAGCCCTAATTACAAATTAGAGAGTACATTTTATAATTGTGTTAACTTGCTGAATAGGTGTTGCCGTACGTTAAGAGGCAAGGTTCCATCCCCAAAATTTTAGTGGAAATTGGATCTTCAAGTTTATTTATAATGATTACTCCTGCACGGTTAAAAATGTATCATGTTTATCTCTTTGCCCACCCTTCTCTCTACGATTACAAGTATTACTCTTGAGACAAAGTTTTGCCAGTCTTTCACTAACTGCTCCTGTTTGACGGATAAAGCTAGGGAGCTACAAACTACAAAGAATGCGATATTAGTACACATTATATTTCCCTCTATGATTAGCAACTGGACCAAACGGTTTCTGTTACCTCCTTTCTTTAACATTTTAAAATAAAGAATCAAGAATCCAAGATCATCACCGGCATTCAATATTCTCTTTCAAACTCTTCCTCAAGCTCCCACCCACTTCATTTCAAGAAAAAAATTCTAGAAACCAGTAAACAGAGCAAACCCTGCAGCAAAGCAGCTACAAGATTCTTCGTTATTCTCATAAATCAAGAAATTAAGGCCAAGAAGATGGATGCAGGATGTAGCATCAAAAGAGTGTAGTAGTTACAACTTAAAGGCTCTTCATTGTCGTTAGTTCCACAGCAGCAGGAATCTGCCGATGAGGGCATTTTCCATCATTCTTGGAAAAGGGAAATATTACTATCAGGTGCACAAATTATTTTGCTAAAAGCTATATATCACATACCCACTAAATATTGAACTGACAATATAACTCTAGTTTAAAAAGCACCACTGTTCTTTATCTCAAGGAAAATCAAGGAGAAATGTAGAAGAAGACATAATTGAGAGCACAATAGTCATTATCAGCATATGAAATATAATACATGGATGCATTTGGTGAAACCATGTTGTCTAGCAGAATCTTGCTCAATGATCTCTGCGAAAGAACTAAACTATACAGTAGAATTGAATTTCGTGTCTACTTGGAGAAGACAAACCAGTCACTTCAAATGGAAATAATTCTCTCTCTACAGTAGAACCATATTCATAAAGACTTGCAACTAAATAGAGCCAGCTGGGGGAGGGACTGTGAGTGAGAGGTCTCGGGGTAGAGACTTCCCACTTACACTAGAAAAAAAAAAGGTAAAAAAGGAGCCAGTCCTAGGGTATAACTATCTGTACCATTATCCTGCACTAAATAGAGAGTTTTTTGGTCTTTTTATGGGAAGTTTTAGCCAGGGCAACACAAATCTCTCTCTTACGTTTGTTATTGTTGTTTTGGTAGTTGCTAGTATTGTTCATATTGTTGGTTGTTCCTCCCACACATGCTGGACTTTTTCCTACCTGCAAAGTATCTTTCACAAATAACTTCAGCTTCCACAATGTTGATTCACTCTGCAAAAGAAGCCAAAACCCAAGTTACCTTAGAAGAACTACTGCCAGGGATACAAAAAGATGAAAGCAGACAAAAATAGTTAAGCAGAACTTAATACCTGAGCATCCATGTCAAGAAACACTTCGTCAGCTGCTGCTTGAAAATTCGGATCATTTTGAGCAACTATCAACAAGGCTTTGTTGAGATCTTCAGCAGATAATTGGGTGAGTGCAGCCCCCAGTCTTCTCTTCTCTTCAGTTGTCATCTTTCTGGAAATGCCATCCAAAGTTTAGTAACAAAATATCCCAAAGTTATTGAATTTCAAAATAGTAATATATGCACAGTACCTAGAGCTGTTAAGTCAATCGAGTAGCTCGAAAGCTCGTTAGAGCTCGACTCGTTAAGGCTCGAGCTCAGCTCGTTAATTTTGGTTAACGAGTCGAGCTCGAGCTCGAAACATGCTCGTTTAGTTAACGAGCCGAGCCGAGTAAGCTCGGCTCGTTAGATACTCGAGTAGCTCGTTAGAGCTCCTTAATGAAGGGCATATTTGTCATTTTAGAAATCAAAATTATAAAAATTAAAAATTATAGGTTTTTATTAAGGTTAATTTGCACGAGCTCGAGCTCGAGCTCGTTTGTGATAAACGAGTCGAGCTCGAGCCACATGTACATTTAACGAGCCGAGTTCGAACACATTTTAAAACTCGTTTTCCTAACGAGCTCGAGTCGAGCTCGGCTCGAATTAAACTCGAGTCGAGCTCGGCAGCCAAATACTCGGCTCGACTCGGCTCGATTAACAGCTCTAAGTCAGTACCCTGCAAATCTATAACAAATTGCTGGGTCAAACATTCATGAACTCCTTTATTAAAAAATCATGCCATGTATCACAAGCAGACCAAAACAGAAGCCACGAAAAGCAGGTTTTTATTATTATTATTATTATAAAAAGAAGAAAGAAAGTTAAAAGCTTTGTTGAAAGAGCTGCGTTATAAATAACAAACCTGCAATTCTGAAGTACAAGTTCCCTGAGTTCTTCAAGATGCGCATCCACATCGTCAAGCTGGACATCAAAATACAACTGTCAAAAATTTCCAGTACTTTTCCAAATTAATTAGAATGCAAAATAGAAAATTGAGATCAAACTGAGGCAGTAGTCTTTCTTAGAACGCTTCCCAATAGAATGCTACTTACCTCAATACTCAAATCCTTAGCCATTTTGGCATGTGCAGCCTCCTGAGCAAGCTGTATATCCAATTGAGCCTCTGCTTCCTCCTCTTTCCGCCTCTTCTCCTACAAGGTTGCAATTTTGAAAATTAACCTGAGGCCTCAAAATTGAGATATGATTGTTTGCTGTGGAAACTTGATTATGTGATATTCAATAACCCCAAAAAGTTAACCACAAGTATTTGACTTTTGTAGCACTAAACACTTTTCTGATTAATAGAGTAAGGCAATTAAATTTTCGATTTGTTTCATACCTCTTCATGAACTTTAGGCAACAATTGCAGCCATTTCTCCTCAAATTTTCCCAACAAAGTTTTGGCCATTACATGCTCATCAACCCTTTCTTCATTATATTTCATTGCATTCTTAAATATTAATCGAACATCAGCACATATCTCCCGCACATTTTTATATCCATTACCATCCTTGGCCTCCATTTTACTTTTAACTGTGCTGAAGTCCATGGGCTTCTCAATTACCTGGAATGTTGGAAAGACAAAAAAATGAAGCAAAATAACTGAATTACAACATAAACACAAAGGACTAAAGAAACCATTGCATTTGTAACAAGTTAATCCAAAGGGAAACAGATGACCAAACTTCAAAAGAAAACACCTTTTCTACTATTTCTCCCAGAAATAAAAACGGTAAACAAGTTTCAAATCAAGGGTCTCTTCTGCATGGGAGTGAGCCTGACTGTACGCATATTTGCACACATGCATTTGTACACAATGCTGAGAGAGAGATTGAGTTGGCTAGGCTGCATTTATAGCATCATGGTAAAATGTAGAAAGATCAAAACCATTACATCAAAATAGTCATGCAATCCAAGACCTTCAACATCCACTGGCTGCATGAAAGGTCCTGCCCACTTGTGCTGGGTGATCTGACAAGCCAACAAATCAACTTAGTGATACTTTACTGTAACCTGCAAAATTCAACAATATGATATGCAGCATGTAAGAACAAATACAATGGTGCTCGTGTGCTCATGTCATGTTTTTTAGCTAACTTCTTAATAATCTTAACAACTAAAAATGACAAAAGAAACAATAGTTTCTTTCAAATTAAGATTGAAGCATATATATTAATCTTATTAAAATTTAGGTCCTATAGATACCAATATTAGAAAAAAAAAATAAGATTTCTTTTCTTTATTTAAGTAAGGCCAATTCAAACAGAAAACTCTACAAATTTGAAACCATAATGCATTCCATGTTCAGTAACACCTTATCTTCTCCAACATTTGAAGGCGCAATATCCGACTAACGAGAAATAATTATTTGCAGCTTTTGCAAACATCTTTGTGAATAGTTAAGAGAATATTTTTCAGCTCAGCAATAATATCATTCATAAATTAGAAAAGAAGATGAAAAATCACAACTGGACACCATAGTATATTCCTACAACCTTGAAATGCCTGTTAGAAAATCTCTCCACCAATTCATTCTAAATTATTTGCTGCAGTATCACTTCAGTTGTGTGTTACCAAGACCGAGTAAAAATCTTTGTCAAGAAAAAATAATATGAAAAACTTTCA